CAGCCATTACTCACTGTTCACTCAGCTCTACTGCGGCCGTTGTACAGCTCCAATGGACCGAGACGTATAAGTAACCACCGACCAAAGAGCGAGTAAAACGAGAGAAAGTAACTAAAAAACAACCTTGCCAAAGTGGGAGTGTCTGTTGTGTTTTACTCTCCTCTGTTCAATTATGTGTCTGCAGACTGCTCTCCGTTTGGTTGTGCTCAGCTCTGCACCATTCAACTCCATTCTTCCGTGCTCCATTTACACTTTAGCTACCATTTATTCCTGTTCTGGGCTCAATATTATAATAACTAGGAAAAGTAGCATATACTGTAAAAGCTTTTTGAAAACTGCAGCTTTGTGTTAGAATAGAGTCTGTTACTAGACTCAAATGGCCTTGAACTTATTCTTTAATAACAAATTGCTCTCGGATCACACTGCCAGGGGCAAACTGTAGCCTTGTGTATGATGAATAATAATTTTCACAATGGCTTTCCATCTGCGAAATTGAGCGTAATATTCTCGAAACACAAAATGAGTTTGCTTCAATTATTCCTTTATTTTATCTGGTTTCCAAATGTTTTAAATTACCAGGTGATGAAATGCGTCTCATTATTATTGCTGTAAAAATGATATCTTGTTATGTTCTGCACTAATAATTTACTCATTTCCATTCCATCCCATCTCATTTTGAAGAATACCTTTTTAAGAATGCATGGCGATTAATCCGGCTGCACACACAATGTGCCACGCACAGGAGCCTATCAGCTTGCCTATAAACAGATGGAGTGCAGCAGTGTGTGAGGGATGGGTGTCGCGCAGTGCGGCAGAGGGAACATTTGGAGGATGACAAATACTCTGCCTTCGCTGTGCGGAGTTTCAAAAAAGTCATCGGATGCATAATGGAATTTTAAATATCATGGTATTCAACATGCACATTAAAGACATGTACTTGCTTGCATGTCAAAAGATGAATGTCTCACACAGGCCCACACACTCAAAAACCTCCAAGTAAATGTTGCGTTATTCTCTTAATCTATATTTTAATGAAATAAACTGATGTGACTTTAGTCGTTAGCTCTTTCCATCCGTAAAATCACACAATATTTCAAGACGTTTAATATCTGGCACCGATATTTCACAACCTGATGGTTGATTAATGATTCACTTTACACAAGAGTGGAGACTATTCAAATTATTTGAAGGTAGCGAGCAACAATTGGTGTGTGTGTGTTTTATGTAGGTTGATAACTATGCCTGTTTTTACGATCTCAGTGGGGTGGGCAGGACACAGTAGACACATGTTCTCTTCAACAGCTCTCCTTAAGTGGGCAATTGTATTATTGTCACCGTGACTTAAGTGTAGGCAACTATCCGGCAGTTTCTACAAAGACACAAATTGCAGACACATCCTCTCACATACTCACACGGATAAAATAAAAACAGAGTGACGGGTCGCAAAATCATCAATGTACACATTTCCAGTGGCTGAGAAAGTTCTCAAAACGTTTCAACTATTAGCAAAAGCAGCAAAAGTGTAGAATACATCTGTTACTAAAGTTAAACTTTTCAAATGTTACTTAGCTTAGATAAATATTACATAGCTTTTGCATCAAAGAATACAATACTAAAAGTTTGTTTTGTTAACAGATTACCGATGCTTTAAATTTAAATTTCTGCTCTGAATAGTGTTTTAAATTTTACACACACTCAGTCTTGTTAATGTTCCACCTTCTGCCTTCGGTTGGCTACTCTGTTGTTGTTGTTGTTGTTGTTGTTGTGATGTTATTGTTGGAGAACGCAAGACACTTGTGAGACAGAAGGAGAAAATATAAAAACTTTCAGCTGCCGCCTCCTCTCTATTCTTCTTCTACCTAATCTTTTGTCAATTCTCTTCTCCCCTGAAGTCTGGTATGCCTTCTGTGCTAACCAGGCTTATCCTACGCACAGACACATACAAATACTTGCCAACAGGTCCTGGGGCCTCATTTATAAAGCCTTGCGTAGGATTCACATGGGAAGGTTGCTTACGTAGGACAAAGCAAATAAATACGCAGACATTTTCCGATTCATAAAACACTGCGTACCGGCGCAGGACTTGCGTACGGCACATCCTACGCCGGTTTCCCTTTATAAATCACAATCAACTGGAAATGGGGCGCAGCTTTGGCGGACTTCCCGTCACGCCCATATTTGCCTATAAATAGTCAAATAAACGCCCCGTATTAATATTCATTTTGACTGACTGACACCCCCTTGATGAGAAACTGTAATAAATGATCGGGGGATCCCTCCGGAGTGGAGTCATGACGACTGGATCTGAATTCTTTTTTTTGTATTTGGTGGTTTGTGTTCCAGATTTCGATCAGCAACTATATAACCATAATCCACCAGTTAAAGGAAATACAGCTAATGTGTTTTGTTATATTAGCTGTACAATTTACCACATATGGTGTTCTTAGTTTCCATACCTCCTGTGTTTTACGAGCGACTTAAATCAAATATTGGTGAACGGCATAAAACATGATTAAACATGATAGTATAAACCATGCTCGTATCTATACAACCTATAGAAATGCAAAACGGCATCAGTTTAAAGTAATTCTGTCCTCCTGCTTACCGCATCATTTATGAGAATACATTTCTTAACAAGAGAACATAATCGAGGGGTGATCAATAACATTTCCGTGGGCTATTCATTTATTTCTCCAAGTCGTGTTTTTGAGTGCAATGAGAAGTCTCAAACAGGCGTTTGTTTAATCATTTTAAGATTGGCTTGAATTATTCATATATGATAAATGAGTGGTAACATTTTATTTATGGTATTATTTCCACATATTTCTCTCCATTCTTCCTTCTGCCAACGGTGCAGTTTCTCGTCTCTCCCGTTTTTGTGCTTAGTGCGTACGCATGGGTTTGCGTGGAGGACCGCACATTTTCCCGTCAAGTTTGTTTTTTATAAATCGCAAACATTGCGTAGAAACTGGCGTACGCCATCTTTTGTGCGTACGCACCGTTTATAAATGAGGCCCCTGGCCTGCATTCAGTCCCTTATGGCATTAATGAATGTTAAATCATCATAATCTGTTGTAAGTGTGTGTGTACCAATTTCTACCATTCGAAGTGAAGCAGAATGTTCAATATGACTGTTTTTAAAAGAGCATTTAACATTATTGCATTCTTAACCAGAACCTCTCAGAATGATTCACAATGAGTTACAATGAAACCTTGACACATGATGAGACATTGGAGCGATGCGTTGACTCAAATTAAATGCAATATCAAATTAGCATGGCAATCAAAGAAAAATAATATATAACATTCTATAAGACACATTAATTGAATGTCTTCCATCTCATTTGCCTTTCATAGATTGAACATGTGGTCTTTTGTGCATGATGAGGGCACCACTGTGTTAATGTAACACGACTACATGACCGTCTTGAAAAGGCAGCAGTGGGCAGGATACCAATGCCTTTTTCTTTTTAGAATGTCGCAGTGGGGAACACTCTACAAATAAAATGTTTTAATATTATGATTTAATTTGATGCAGTTCTTTTCATTTTGCATAATGAGTGGAGATGTTGATTACAACTCAAAGCTTCTGTAAAAACATGTAGCACATGTGGTAATGGGATGTGAAGGACCAGGGCAATGTTTAATGTTAACTTGGGCTTGATGTTGGTCCCTAAATCACTCTTATATTCCACATAGCTGATATAGCTGATATTTATCACTCATTCATTAAGTTATTAGTGCCACTCTGATCAGCTTTTGGTTCTAGAGCACCAAGTGCACACTTACTTAATTCAGAATAACAAAATTGCCCCTCCTTTGATTTTGATATTGCACAAGTCCATGTAGTGATTTCTCAGTCCTATGGTTTTGCTTTGAAAATGAATAATTCTTGCAATAACTTCCACTTCATACAAAATCAGTATTTGGCTTTTGTTTTATACAAAGTAATAGTAGATAATGCAGTGAACAGCTCATTGACTGCCAGTATGAATTTGTCTTGACAATATCACCAAGCCACAGGAAGCTATTTTGACCATTTGTATTTTCCATCAATTGTAAAAATAATAGAGTAAAAGTCAGAGTAAAACTAACTTTGAATCCAACCCACACAGCTTTCAGCTTTTGAAACAAAGGCATAGCTGTAAACACTCATTCAACATTAACAAAACACATTTTGTTATTTTTCTTCCTTGTGTGCGTTTATCTTACAGCTTGTACCGTCTTGAAGTGCTAACATATTCTAAACCTTCCCTACACCATGGGCATGTGTGTGTGTGCCTGAGTGTGTGTGTGAATAATTTAAGCCAGCACTCTACATCTTCATCCAATCAGACCAATGCGGGAACCCAGAGGAACAGGAGCACCGCTTCTTAGAATCTCTTCTTTTGCAGCATAATCATATAAATGTAACAATGACTGCAGAAACAAACTGAGTGCAGATCATTACTAATATTTAATATTAAAGGATGCTTTCATGCTAGCAGTTCCGAGCAATTAGGGAGAGAGATGTGTTGAATTTGAGAGGAGACGAAAGGGTAATACATTCTCATCTTACATTTAGAGAGCGAGAGGTCTTTCAACTGGGATGATCCTCCACTTTCTCGACACCTAATGAGAACACTCTACTGTGGCTATGTTAATTCATACATACGTGAACGTGCACAGATACACAGAGAAGTGACACTCCACCTGGTTTCTAGTGTCCAGTGAACACTCGAGCCATCCATTTCCTTCTGCATGTGAGCCGTAAAAGCCCTCTGAGGCAATTATGTTATAAAAAGAGGCTGTGGTGTGGTGAACTGACTCTACAGGGAGTGTGATTGGTACCAACTGCTACTTAATACTTGGAGAGACACTTTACAAGAACAGTTGTGGTGGTGTGTATTTGTCAAGATCACCGTTAGCTGTTAACGGGGCTTTGTTTTGGTCTCTGTACTGGATTTAGAGTGAATTAAGTGAGCTGTTTGCAAATGTGTGCGGCTGTCACAGGTACTTACTGCACAGACTTGGAGGACTGGGACCTGAACTTGCTGAACTCGCCTGGAGCGGTCCACTCTGTACCGAGCTGCAACACACAAGAAAAGAGACACAGATCAGAGAGGGTGTGAGAGAAAGAGAGGGGGACATGAGCAGCATAGGAAATGTTCAGGCAGAGTGTGAAACAGTATTCTAATGAAAAAATTCATCTTAGAAATCAACTTTGTGAGATAGAAAAACACAACTTTGACTGAATTTTTAGGCATGAAAAGGGTCCTGTGTGTCTGTGTTTTCCCTGACTAAGAATAAACTGCATTTCATGATTTATTGTGAGAAACAAAGCAATGCTACGTCAAAACGGACTTTTAGCCACTTATAGTCTAAATGGAATGATCCTTTGTTTCATAATTACATTTTCCCACCATTATGATGATTTGACTGTAAGATTGGCAATTCAATCAGGCTCCGTAGATCCAATTGTCGAATAAAAGTGACTCTGATTCATTCCCTGGTTATGATAGCACACTAAATGAAGCGTAACAGGAAAACAAGACAAAAAGACCCAGAGGCAACAGGTAGAGTCAACGAGAAGGCTAAGCAGAGACATGAGCTAAAAGCTGCAAAAAGAGAGCAATTTGGATCCATTCCATGCCAATACTGGGTCTAAGAAGCCGGCTCATCCTGACTCCCGGGGCTCCGGTTTAAGCCCTGTGGTAGAATCAGTACCCATTCATTTTCTCAGCAAGCCAACACACTAATTATGGCCCCTGCTGCGGCTGATCCATAATGAAGGAGCAGGCTAAGATCATAGCGGGCATTCCTTTAATTGTTTGCGCTGGACACACTGGGTTTGAATCCTGGTCAGAACACATTGTGCTGCGCTGTGTCAACACATCACAAGAGCCTTTCAGCTTGTAAATGGCTGCTGATCCTCACTCTGGGTATACTCTGTGCAGCAACACACACACTAACTCCCACCTACAAGATAATCACACACACACACATTTGAAATTGCAATTATACAATGGCACCTCTGATCACATTTGCTGGCATGAGAAGAAAACCTAAAAAGAAAAAAAAAAGGACACTAATGTCTGGCCAAAAGCACCAGGCCCCTGGCAGTGCTGAAGCCTCTGAGAGACTCTGTGAAGCAGTTGGCTGGAGAGGAGGAGCACACAATGTGCGCTACTGTGCCTTCACTCTGAAGCCCGCAGCATGCTGCTGCCGTAGTACATTTCCACACCAACAATTTCCTCACAGATTCCTCCTCTGGCACAGGAAGTGTGGTACAACTTATATCACTGGGAGTTAACATTGTAATGGAAAGTGTAGATTAAGCTCACCCAGCTACATCTAACTTGCTCAAGCTGCATCTCAATAATACTTTTGCTTAGTACACTGTCATGTCGTAAACTGTTCAATTGCGATCGTGAGGCTTTGTCTCAAATCACACACAGCTGCTGTGCCCTCAGAATGACGATCAACGCTGTTAGCTAGGGCTAAGTTAGCGGTACAAATCATTACAAAGCGCTTTGAGCACCAGGAAAAGCGCTATATAAATGTTATTATTATTACACACTGCTCAATTAACCCAATAACAGTGGCTTATTTTTTAAACTAGTATAGTGGTACTCTTATTAGAGGATATAAAAAAACACATGCATAACTTATTTTTATAGAGTGGTGTTCACCGGAGCAACCACAATCGCACTTTTCCCACAATTGCAGTTTTCGCAATTGTTGAGAAGTGTCCAGCGTTCCTCTCTCTTTTGGACCTCTTTTTTTTAAGATTGCACCATCAAGGTTCTGTACGGAAAGTGCCCTGCATTTAGCCAAATTACACATTGGGACCCACCTTTTGCCCTTAAAATAGCATAATAGCAAGTACGAAAGTACACAAATTGACACACATCATAAGTTTACATTTAAAATGAAAGCTCTTCTTTCATATCAATACACAATGTGATTATATTGTAGAATAAGGTGGAGAACACTTATAAATGATGTGAGGCTGCTATGGTCTGGGGTGGGTTTTATATCAGCACTGATGGTTGTTAAATGTCATAATTAATGGTTTGTGGTTAACAGCCTTCATTAAAGAGCACTCCACCTGTATCATGTTACTGTAATTATTGGATATAAAATACATTTGGCTGTTTTATGTAGGTCACGTCACCTCAAGCCCCAACCCTTAAGCAAGTTTGTGTCGAACTGTCGATGTTGAAGAATCGGAGGGATGAAACCCTCTTTAATGGTCACACATGCAGAGCACACAGCACACAGTGAAATGTGGCCTCTGCCAAATGTAACCCATCCTAGTACTAGGAGCAGTAGGCAGCTATTGTACAGCGCCCGGGGAGCAATGGGAGTGGGGGGGTGTCCGATGCCTTGCTCGAGGGCACCATGGCAGGCCAGGAGGTGAACTGGGACCTCTCCGTGTAGCGGTCCACACTCCATATTTTAGGTCTGGTCGGGGACTTGAACCGGTGACCCTATGGCTCCCAGTCCAAGCCCCTACTGACTGAGCCACTGCCGATGTTGACGTTTTATTATGCTTATTATGTTTCTGCAACATATATACTGCATGTCTTTCCATCCTGGGAGAGGGGTCCCTCCTCTGATGCTCTACCATGGTGGTCCTGAGGTTTATTCTGGGGATTTCTTTCCTTGTATGCTGTAAGGGTCCATCAACAGGGGTTTGTTATATACTGTACAAATTTGAATGCACCTGAGATAAATGTGTAATGCGTGATATTTGTCAATATTAATAACATTTGATTGATTGATTGAATGCTATTGGAGCCATAATGTGTCTCAGCCTTGATGCTGCTGTACTAACGTTTAGCTTGTAATTACTGCCTCATTTGGCTTTTAGAAACACTTGTATCTGCTTATTAATACACCAACACTGAGCCCATTCTGACTACATGAACAAAATGAAAGTCGGAACTCATTTAACTTACCTAGACTGCTTTTAAAGTGTTCTTTATGTTTTGTTCAGCTCATACTGACTTACAAAAGGGAAGACTGCAGAAAGTAGTGCAGTAGAATCTCATTGAAGCTCGTCTCCCTCAGAACAACCATCATTAAAATACAATCTTTGTCAATGCAAAGTACTGTTGGTTTCTTTAGAGACGCAGGGAATCTTTAGTGAAAGATAAATAACTTTGACAAATCAGAGCCGAATGAAATTGCAGAACTTAAAAAGCCTTCAGAGCAGAGGAAAGTGAAAGAAAAAAGAAGAAGCTGTGACTTATCACTTTTACACTGAATATAAATGGGAAACTTGCGAGACAATAGTGTTGACAATGTCTCTGTACTCACATGTTTATATTCTCCCTTTGCGTGAATTGTTTTCTCTGGAAAGGGCGCTGTGGTTTAGATGAAAAAGAGAGTGATCACAGCACACCGAGCTGCAAACATATTCATCTAGGCAAGACATGTTATCTTGTTATCTAGTGTTGACTCTTTTTTTCCAATAAATAAATTAAAAAAATATGTGTGCAGGCAAAACAACATGATCATTTCATTTGTTTACAAAGCAAATGAAAATTCAGAAGGGAAAAGTATTTTCAGCGGCAGAAAACTGAAAGGATCTCACCTCATTGTAAGAGTTAACATGAATGTTGGATATTGATTAAGAAAATGATGCTTTTAGAAAGTGAAATTCAAGAGGACAAAGACTTTCAATGTATGACTGAAGCAAGACCCTTTTCACATCAAAAGCATTTATAATTGTTATAAAAATTCATCTTGAATGCACAATTTGTGCAAATGTTTGTGATTTATACTATGCCTTTTTTCCAAAGCAGAGTACAGCATATTGTGTTTTAAAGGTTTCAAATTCATCGCCGAGCTCATGAACATTTCATTTATTCCGATCCATTTCCTTTTGAATCTGTCAGCCATTCAAACAATCTCCTTCCACAGGGTTTTAGATGTTCCAGATTCTTTAAGAAAAGCTGGAAATTGGAGGGTTTTAAAATATTTACAGTAGGCTCCCACAAAGGAGGAAAATATTAGTGCAAGTCCTGTAGCAAAGTAAGAGAGTGTATCTATTTTCTTCCTTGTCAGATGGTAAATCAGCTGTACACAAACAATGGCAGGGTCAAAGCCATTGTTACAAGGATAAAATACGTGCAGTGCCACAGCTTTCTCATGAAGGAGTAGTACACGTGTACATGCATGAGAAACACACATGTAAACAACACACACACAGGATTTCCTACAGTACAATGAGTCATTGCTTATTGAGAGCACCAGAGGAGGCGGGAGGTAAATCAGTAGGCAAGCAGCCAGGGAGACATAAGGGGCAACGCGCACACTTCCTCATATCACATGTTTAAAAACTCCCCCTCACTGACATATTGTCTTATTTTGTTCCTACTTTAGTGGTCTCCGCAGATAAATAAGGCAGGGAACTTTGGGACCACATTTCTCAAACTTAAAGCAGCAACCCAGACAAACAGCAACCTTGCTCTAACTTCACCTCTCTTTCACACAGATACAAACACACACACTGTGCGAGCCTCACCCACGAATGTACTTCTGGAAAACTAATTTTGGATGGCACTGGCCCTGAAACACTGAAGAATGAAGCACAGTACAGGGTCAAGAAATATAAGAAATATGAGTGTGTTATGGAGCTACAGTATGGAGACATTACTTCTCTCTCTATCAATTCCTTTTCTTCCTAACTCTATTTTTTTCTCTCCATAAGAAAAGAGGTAATAGAGAAACAGCCGACCTGTGATATAACTTCAGAGCGCTTTTTCTAAGTTCAGTTTTTCTCAACTGAGCTTAAATTGCAAAGTGCTGTGTGAGGGTGAAGATTGAATAGGGTTTTGGGTTGCATTCAGAGGCAGAAAACACAATAACAGGAAACCTGACATTTGGAGAAATCTTTGCCAGAAGAATAGAAGCATTCTTTGAATTGGAATAATGGGCACTTTCCATTTAGCTGTGTCCGGGCCATGACCCTGGAATTGTTTATAATGTCTCCCAAACAGACCAATTATTTATGTCTTGAAGTACTGATTTCTTCAGTGAGAAATGTATAATTTAATCTCGAAAGCCGGCAACTTACTT